TACATGGTATTCGTTCTATTTTCTAGAGCCACATCCTTGATACTGGATACTGATGCTGACTGATCAGTAGGCACATGCATGCCCAAAGAAAAACAAATATTGGGTGATCATAATCATTCATTACAGTTTTTCCTTTTATGGTCTCACAACACAACCCCTGGCTTCATTTTCACGATAAATACTTTACTGGATTCCGACTCTCTGCTCTGGAGCTTCCCTGACGCCTTTATCTAAATCCCAGGCTGGAAGACCGCTGTTCCCTGCCTCATGGGGATCCCAGCTGTCACCCCGGCAGCCGAAACACGGGACCTGCTTCCCGCCTGAGGAAGCACAACACCCATGTAGTCGTCTTGGCTTCATGTCAACCCCTGGCTGTTGTCATCGACTTGCAGAAATAAGCAAAACATATTACATTCTGATGTATTCTGTATTGCCTTTGAAATAGACGTCACTTATTTCCCCATATTGTGTTCCTCTAAACTAAAACAATAGCAGCTCGTCTAGTGCACTTACTGCTGCCTCTAGAATGTTTACTCCTGGCTCTCTTCAGGAGCTAAAAGGCTGAAAACTGCATCGTAATTGGCCAATTAGGCTTAATGCCACACAGTGTTGACTGTTAGTTTCCACATATTGTGTGCAGAACTAATTGTGCTGAAAGCAAATGAACGGGCAGGAGACAAACAAGCTACTAGAAAATAATTACTTGGAGTGTTTCTTTTCAGTACCTGTACAGCAGATTTCATTATAGTCAATAGCCTCTAAAGCTGCTTGAAATGGTGGTAGTTGTCATTTTCATAGAGACTTGATAATGACATTAATTTGTCTTAATGGTCTGCTCTATTGTTATAAATAGTAAAATTAGCTTAAATTGTCTTGCTTCTGCTGGCTTTGGATGGCTCCAGAGGGCCTCCCAACAGCAGATGAGTAGATAATTTGGTGTGCTTGTCAAATTTCCAATAATTTGTTATATGGAACATGAGTAATGCTAGTACCATTAATGTTCATTTTCCTCTAAATTCATTACTGCCCTTTTCCCTTTTATCTTTTTTAATGCCTCTGCCGTTTTTCTCTGTTTCAAGTGGAAATACAAAGCCTGGGTGCACGCACACACACACACACTCACAGAGCTGTCTATTAACATTCTGATAGCGGGGGGGCCGGAGACCGGGTAAGAGTGGTGCAGGCGGTTTGGACAGAGCTGGACAGAGGAGACCCACTTACCGATATTGGCAGGATGTTTTTGTTTCTCTCTCCGTGTCCAATGTGACTCAGTCTGCCTGCACCCTTCTGCAGATGTTTTTGAAGCTGGAAACGTAAGCGAGCTGCAGGCAGTCAGTGGCCCACCAGGCTGTAGCAGTAATTACCGTCCATTAGGCAGAGATACGCTACCTTCTAACAACTGGTTGCCGGCTCTTTCGTTTTTCAGTCCTGCGCTAAGTGATCCCTGTTAGTGCTCCCTTTTCAAATGCCTGGAGCAGCTTGCTCTGATCATGGGGGGCAGTCATACATTTGTTTTTATTCCCACAATGTCCTTTTAATTTCCTGGGGTTAACCAAGGCCTAACTGGGCAGTCAAACTATGAGGAACTTCACCAAGACGGGTCCGGAGGAATTGTTTCAGTGTCTGCTGTCATGGCACCAGTGAAAATGAAACATGAGCTCCTGTCTCTTTCTACCACAGTGCTGCAGTCACGGTCTACTAACATCTTAGCAATGTGTGCCCAGCCAGCATGTACTATCCCCATACCAGCAGTTCCACCTTCCTGAGTTTACAGAGAGGAAGTGAGGGGCAAAGAAAGATATTTAACACAAATGGCAGGAAGGAGGACTCTGTTTGAACGACAAGCAAGCCTATGCGTTTTGTGATCTTCGTCCACTCAGGAACGCAAGTAGATACTCCTAGCCCTGGTGCGGAATGGAAAGAGCCTGCTAAGGACCCACACGGCAAGGCCTAGCTCATCTCATTTCTGGCAGCAAATGCTTGTTAAAGTGCAGGCAGTTGTGAGGACTTGCATGATACCAGCAGTGGTAAAATGTTTACAGAGTACAGAGCTGTTCCATGTGACTCTCCAAGGGCTTTGCAACTTGGCCCGGTTCTTTCTCTGCGTCCCTGAACGCAGTTCATTTTCTGTAATTGCTGTACCTCGGCACAAGCTCTTAATCTCCGCCATTTCAGAGAAGAATGATCAAAATAACATCTAAGAGCTGATCTTTGATGTTCCATTATTGTCAAGAGTCTTTGTGACTCTGAGATGATTACAACTGAGTAATAGGCAAGTGCACGTCATGGTTATTGCATTAACTTGACTACCTTTTTTCCGGCATAATAACTGCAATTGCCTGCTCACAAAGAAAAGTTTTAAGATGGTATTCGTTTAATTTGTAACAGTATTGCAGGTATTAAACAAACAGAGAGGTAATTTCTGATGTTTTTATACACTGGGTTCTGAAAACCTAAGTAATGTGGGTAACTAAGACTTCGCGGGCATTAGGAAGCACAATATAATTGTGGTCTTTCAGTTTTTATATTGTGACCTTGGCCAGGACGTGCTGTTCAGGGCTGTTGTATTACAAAAGGAAGCTGCTTATTGCTGGAACAGCTGTGCAAACATAAACTACAATAAGTCTAGCTGCTAACTTTTGATTTATCCAGGATACATACGAAATACCCTGCACCAGAGGTGGACTTTCAGTGGCAGTAAAATCCCAATTAACCAACATTTGGTGTCTCCACACATATACCAATTCTGACCAGAGGTCACACCTTACTGCACTATGGACAGCAATTTTGTTGAAAATGTAAAAAAAATAAATCAGAAAGTGTTTTCTAGTAATCCATTTGTACTCAGTTCTCCCTTTTGGGCTACTCTCCAAATCCAAAAAAAATTCAATTTTCTAACTGCTGCGTCCAATTCAGCGTCCCAGGAGAGCCAGTGCCTATCCCAGCAAGCAGCAGGTGCAAGGCAGGATACACCCTGGACAGGATGCCAGTCCATCACAGGGCACACACACACTCAATCCTGGGTCCCGTGTTTCCAGAAGCCAATTAACCTCCTGTATCAGCATGTCTTTGGACTGTTGGAGTGAAACCAGGGAGTTTGTATGAGAACACACAAGCTCCACAGATAGCACCCCAAGTCCAGAATTGAATCCAGGACACCAGCACTGCGAGGCAACAATGCTAACCACTGTGCCACCCATTGCAGAAACATGTTTTTTAAAAGAACAAACAAAAATACAGCAAAACAAAGCACGGCAGAGACCCAAAACAAGTTGCTCTACTGGACAGAGGACAAGGCTGTTATGATCTTTTTGCTATCTCATCTTGTGAAAGGAAAAGCTGCACACAATTCCAGTTCAGTGAAACCTCAGCAGCAATCTTATCGCAGTGTTTATCCGTGCCACAAACCACACTACTTTTCTTAGTTCTTATCCTACAGCTGCAGACCCTTACAACGTCGAGCAGAGAGGACGTGACTGACAATTTGGGGAAATTTGACCAGACGCTGTGCTAGTCTTTGTGTTAAAGTGAGAAAAGAGTGTGAAACGTTGACTCAGACCTGGAGAGCCAGTTTGACAGAGAGATTCTGTGTTCAGTAACGGTTGCCTGGTGTTTAATGACTCACTCCTCCACATCCACAAACATCATTCTGAAGTATGAATAATGCATACTCATGACTACATTGTCCAATGCATCCTACTCCCTGAAGAGATTATATTATCAGAATGTGTAGAGGGAAAGGTCAGCCTGGAGCCCAAATCATTAGCAATTATGGACCTTTTAATACCTATTTCATTAGGAGCTTTATTTAATATAATTTTTTTCTCCCAGGCTGGTAGAAAGAGCCATTACTATTCAAGTTTTTTTTTATAAAAGGACTATTTTAACAGAAATTTGACAGGTTATCAAATTTTTATTTTGAAACCAGTTTGCACAGCAAACAAACTGGAGCCTGCCTAAGTGTCTTTTTATAAGACTTCTGAAAGGGGTGGACTGTATATGACCACAGGATGAAAATGTTATTCCAAAAGCCAAACCCTGCCCTCAGCTTGTGACAACACTGACATTCCTAGTAAGAGGAAGGTGGCCATACTCTCTGTGGTACCGGACCTAGAATTTGTCTGACAACTATGAACTCCAGAGTGTGACAAAGCAAGCATGCGACTTTTAATAGACCTGAACCACAGTGCCGGCTTTTCATGCGGTTTGTCTTCTGATATTTATCATTTTGTACAGTCTGGTTTCATTTTTACCTTTAAAAAAATCATGACCAAAATACAAAAAGTGTGTTCAAGATGAAAGGTATTTTTCTACATCCTACATTTCAAAACACAAAGATAACTTTACATGTTTGTATCTGGGACATTCATTGCCCAAATATTTCTATGATAAATACAGCCCTTACTTTCTCTAGTCTCGTTAGAAGCTTCTTTGAAGGCCGAGTATCAATATGTAAAGGGTCACAAATCTTCAGCTGTGGAATGCAATGAACAAGGTGATCTTCTTCATGCAGCAGAGAGAGTTTCGTTTACCAACAGCTCTTCCAAAGACCATCCCAAGATGTGAAACTCTTGTTTACAACAAGCATGATATAAAAGACGTTAGCCTGTCATCATTTTGCCTAATCATTTTAGGGTAACTCCATTGCACAAGGTGGTGCAGGTGTGTAGATTTTTTAAAAAAGAATTTAAATACTTAAGTTCATAATCTGTGTTAGAGCTCAATTGCTATTAAAACTTTACTTGTGTTACACTGTGAAACTCATTTAACAACAGGTGGTGAGGATTTTTTCACCAGACTAAAGAACTTTTAAGCACCAGTAACTCAGCAGCACCTAGCTGCTCATGTGTTAACACTTCAACCACTAAGGCAACACATAATCGCAAAGTGAGTGATTACTGATTAATCATCAATGATCCCCCAACCTTTCACTAAAAAAACGCATACAGCAATAAAGAGTAAAAATAAAAAGGGACATTTTCATTCAATCCACACAAACGTCCTTTGAACATCAGAATCTTTATGTAGAAAATGTGATCATTTCAAAACTGCAATATAATGCACATAGGGATCTGCTCCTCTCAGACACAAGGAAGATGAGGAGGAGAGAACAAGGACATAAATCACACAACAGGACCGCGCACCGTCTTCTCCACGCTATCACACAGGCAAACAGAAAATATCACCGTTGCTTTCAAGGTTCAAGAACCCCCGACTCCTCCATACAACCGCGGCAGTACAGTACGTGCTGTTGTGTGACGTGATTACAGGGTCGTTCTGGCTGATAACCCACTACGTAGAACATACTGACTTTCCTGTGTGATTCCTTGACAAAGTGCATGTCGTGCACTAGTAAGAGCTGTCCTTTCAGGAAACAGGGAGTGTTAACACACACAACTGCAAACCGGACCGCCTCGCATTTGAACAGCTTAACCAGCACTGCTGTTTTTGTGTATCGCTGCGCACGTCAGAGCACGCTATACAACACCATCAATTAAACTCAAACGAAACCCAAAACAAGTACATAATACAATTAATTGCTTACATTTCGAAAGTTTGGTATTGAGAAAAAAAAACGTATTTTGGCTGAAGAACTGTAATGAAGTCTTGCTGCTGGGGTCGAAATATCCAAGCGGTTTCTTCCTGCGAGGTGGCCGCACTGTTGGCACTGCAGGTGAGCATCACAGAAGGGACTCGGGTTCCTCTTTCTCGGAGATACCACAAAGGTGATACCCTTAACATCCCGCACAGGTCCCAGGCTGTGCGTCCGGATATCAGACACACATCAGCTAAGATAAAGTAAAAAACTGCTTGCTTTTCACGGTAGTCTTTCAGCTTTAGCTGGAATTAATATTAATGACTTTCAACAGCTGTTTCCTTACTAACCTGAAGATTACAATTCTTCTCAGCGTCTAAAATAAAATAATTGTATTACAGCCACCGTCACCGCTGAAGTATCAAGGCCCACAGTCCGCTTTTCACGCACTTAAATTTCAGTTATTCTGTCCAAAACACACTCTCGTGATTCAGACCAGGGTGGTTCAGAAGTGTACAGGGAATCTGTGATTTACAAAATACCTGGCCGAAACCTGCAGATACGTCAGAAAGAGCGGATCAGCAATTTTTAAAGGGAACAGAAAAGGCAGTAACAATCATTCACAATTGTAGCATTTTAAATAGAAATCAAAATTGAACAAAATAACAAATTATTTATTTGACAAATGACAACCCTGACAAAAGGTGTCCACCATCACTGCTGACCAGACTGTACATGTTAAAGGGAAACTGAAATGATGGAGAGACTCAATTATACAGACTATAGTGAAAGTATTGTTATTCAATGTTAATAATAATAATAATAATAATAATAATAATAATAATAATAATAAAAATAAAGTAAGTCATTTCTGTCTGGTTGACATTTTCCTGAGAAAACAATGTTGGTGAGAAACTAGTAAAGAGATTATTTTAAAATGTCTGGGTAAATTTCCTATCACAATGCAGGTGGCAAGGCATGATAGAAAACGTTAGACTTACTACCGGGAGCAGTCCGGATTGTGACTGACATCTCGGCAGACCGCGAAAAAAAAACTCGGACAGGAATATTGGAGGAAATCCCTCTGGGACCTTTATTCTCTCCCTCCGTGAGTGAGTTTTTATCTTCTGCGCTACAGCAAACACAAGACCGATCGATTGATATTAAATCTGTCAAGCTGGTATTCAGCGCTGAGCAGAAGCTGCAGTACACAGAGTAATAACAGCGTAGCTTGAGATCGAGATGTCTATAGCCATTCCAGGCAGGACTTTGTGTGGAGAAGCAAAATCGTTATTTCCAAACGTAATGCCCCACACTTGATCAGAAGCATTTGATTTTCTACGATCTGTACATGCTTGACTGGTGTTTCGTTTTCACTAAATATTTTGTATTATGAAGTTTCTCCTCCTGTCTTCCCTTTTCTCAGGCTCCTGATTTTCATAAACTAATCCCGTCGACGGAAGCTACCGAAGCAGTGCTTTGTGCCTGCGTGTTGGTACAAGAGTGGAAGAAACACGAAAATATAATGATATAACCTGACATAACACAGCCCGTAGCTGGTCTTCATACTCGTGAAAGTGTTGGAACGCGTTAAAACCGACGTGAATCCATATTTTTCCCCAATATTGGCTGTTAAAATAAGAGAGGCAGCTCATGGAGCGCAAGTCCAAGTTTACCCGAGTCTTCCCATTGATTCTTTTTTTACAGTGTTTTTAACTACCGGGCTGGAGAGTTGTTTGTATTCAGATCGACGAATGTCTGATCTTTAATAACTATTTAATTGATATTAACTGCTTTGAGAAACCTTAGGTACTGTAATGGGCCGATACTGATATTATTGCTTATTTTGGGTTGCACAGAACCCATGACAGTCATTTGTAACGATTGGTTCGCGGTTCACATGACATTTTATTCCTCGTAGTTCGATTGTCTCACAGTATATCGGATATTTAAAACGTGAGATGGAATCTATTGTTGATCTCTAATCTAGTCAAAGACTAGATTAACTGGACCTAGTTCTGCTGTTGCTCTCTCACGCTAGAACACTTAACCAGTGACCCCATACCAGTGATGTCACAACAGCAGACCAATGGCGTCACAAATTTAGAACAATGATATAGCAACCACCAGAGACTGGTACTCAGAAATAAATCTTAGTTTATTCTTGAGTAAACTTTCTTTACTTTAATATTGAATAACAATATGCATGCTAATGCATGCTAATGAGACAGTATAGTTTTTGTGAACATTTCAGGCTCCCTTTAACATGAAATTTTAAGATTTTGTTTGGGGAAAAAAATACTATAAAGTTTAACAAGAGAACTGAAAACTCAGGTTATGAAGTTACATAGGATTTATCAGCAAGACAAAGATAAAAAATGAGCAGAAGTAGTATACTGCAGATGAAAAGAATGATCAACTTCTGTAAACTGCTTCCAAAAAAAAAGATTGAACAAAGAAAATTTCAAAGTGGACTGTTTTTTTTTTAAAATTTGATCACATTCACAGCTTAAACACTTAATATTAAAGTTTGGAGAACACAAAACTCTCTTGGCACTGATGGAAATAGAATCCCAGTTTGCTGAAACTAGTTTCCTTCAACAGGGAAAAAGAATGTATTTTTAAACCAGGATTGTACAAGAACACAGAAAGGCAAGGGGGATTTTGAGACACTGAGCTGATATCGCTGAAGTCTCTCCTTGTACAGCCACAAATGGGTCTAATAAGAACACAAGGAAGGCTACAAACGAGAGAAGGCCTTCTGGCCCACAAAGACTATTTGGAAATTTGTAGCTAATTATTCCCAAGGTCTCCTCAACATGGCTCCAACAACATGGTTGGGTAGCTTGTTCCTGACTCTCGCCGCCCTGTGTGTGAAGACGTGCCTCTTGTCCTCAGTGGGTATTGTAAATACACCTGCAGGTAATCTCTCTAGCCCCACGTTAGGAGGACTCCATCACTGGATCAACAGCACACTGTGCAGTTTCCCCATCACTGCCAGTATGGCCTTTCAGGATCCCAGTACGAATACTGTTGCTACTGGCTGGGGTGTACTGGAATGTTATGAAACATGGCACTGTTTAGGCACTAAAGACAACCTAATATCGGACCCGTCTCGCATTTATTTTTTCCCCCCTTTCATGAAGAAACAGAACAGCTCTTTCTACCTGTGGTACTTTTAAGAAAGTAAAGAATCACTCGTGTTCTGGTCCCAGAAGCCAGAAGACTTGGAGAACTCCCTGTATCATGATTCCAACAGGCAGTGGCTCCCTGCAAACACTGTTCGGCACAACATCAACCTGGGGGCAGACGTTCGATTCAGAACAGGGTCAGCAGAAGCCTGCGGCCCATGCCTGGCAAGACAGTGAATTCAAATTAGGAGTAATTTAAAAAAAATATTGCTGCAGTTAAATAGCTTCCAATATGCTGCTGTACTGTTCTAATACTCGTGGACAGGACTGACAGATTGTGTCAGTCTCCACTGCACTGATTTTTATATTTACGTTTTATTTCTGAAAACAATTCAGTTTATTACCTGGGGGACCTGGATGTCCGAGCGAGCGCCGTTAGATCGTCAACAGATGCACTTCTAACATCCTTGGACAAAAGATAGCTAAAAAGGTACATAGGGCATTCAATATTGTTGTTTTTTCAGAACCACTGAAGTAGAGAGAATTATCTCTCCAGCTGACACCGAAGGTAAGACACAGCAGTGCAGGTTGCTGTGCAGAGGAAGTCTCCTCAGCTGTCTGTGGCTGTCAAACACCAAGGGCAATGGAAAACGAGACAGCAAAATAACACTCAGAGAGACAGACTCAATGAGATCAATCCCTGACGGATTTAATAATTTAAGTGACCGATAACAAACATAGAAACTGTTCTTCTCTGCCAGTGAACAACAGCCCCAAACCTGCCCCATGCCCAGTCTGGGACACTGTAAGGCGGGTCTCTGCCCTAAAGCCAGTGTGTTGGATAAGGCCTTTGTAAATGGCATGGGGTAAGGATGTCTGGGTCTACTTCTACTTTCACACCATTCTCGAAGCACTGGGAGAACCCTAAAAAATATTTGGTGGGCAAAAAAATTGCAGAATATCTTTCCGTTTCATTGCTCAGCTCGTCTGCGTTCTGTGACACTTTAAAATGTTCCGAGAACGCGGACGCTCGTGCACCCTGAAGCCTGCCTGCGGGCTCTGTGCAGTCCGCGTGCGCCAGGCCCCAGCCAGCCCCGGGACACGCCGGACTCCTGCCTCACCCCTGCTGCCCCGAGGGCTGCGGCTACACCAGGCTGCCGGGCCAGGACACCACGGTCAGTGCCACCTTGTTCCTCTGCTCCTTCAGCATGGGCACCAGCGCGGAGTGGCTCATCCCTGCTGTGGACAGCCCGTTCACAGCGACGATCATGTCTCCACACCTGCCCGCCATCACGTTAAATAAAACACACGTGCACAGAGAACAGAGAAAGAAAGGGTTGTCAGTCTTAGACATGTGCAAGATTGGCGCCACCAGTAAAGATGCTGGCAATGTTTCATATCTTGCAGTTTCTATCACTTGAGCTTCCCTGGCATGGCCTTGTTAGAAACCAGAGATGTAGCTCTCCTGGTTTATGGGTATACTGCTTGTACGCTTTTAAACACGTGGAAAGACAAACCGTCCGAAGGCTGGATCAGAAGCAAACCAAACAACTGCACTTCCACAAGCTGAGGAAAGAGGAACGTCTGATTGCGCGTCTGGCTGTTCGGAAAGACCAGTGCTCGAGAGTTGTGGCTACACCGGGGTGCCAGGCCAAGACGCCACAGTCGGTTCACACACAAGTGCCCGCCCCAACAAAAGATAAGGTCTGCATGTTTGAACTATCCCTTATAAACGCGTGTTTGAAAAAATAAAAGATGTTTTCAAAGAAGATGGGGACACTTAACTAGTCACGGTGAATCCACGACCGAGCTAACAGCAGAAAGCACCGTGAAAAGCCTAGCAGATCTGCAGCAAATGCACAGCGAAATCGTGGTCATAACGAGTGAGAGCCGCCCATGCAGACACAGCAGTGCAATCGTTCTGGAAGGGAAGAGGCTTACTTGAGGCGGCCGTCATAATAGGCGGGTGTGCCCAGCACGATGGTTTTGATGAAGAAAGGCTGGTTGGTGTGGCTCTCCTCGTACCCTCCCACAATGCTGAAGCCCCAGCTGCCCAGGCTGCTCCTCCTCAACACGATCTCATGGCAGCTGTGCAGGTAACTGCGATGCAGAGCCGGAGAAACATCCACCATTAACAGGGGGCACATTCTCTGCTGTCCAGGCCCCCTGTGCCACAGTGGAGTGGGAATTCAAGCCTTTTCGCACGTGTGGTTGTGTCATGTCATGCACAATGCAGGAAACCAGGATATTCCAGACACGGCTCGTCTGCCTGCTCCATTCTGTGCCTGGTTGCCATCGTGTTGCCATTATATCTGTGATGCCTAAAATATTGGTCGATAATTATCAATCATTGCTGCAGGCCAGCATGTATGCAACGTGGACCTACAGAGTGTGCCGTGTTTGTTTAAATCCTTTACGGGTCATACCAATCCATATGGCACATCCCATCAACTGGAGACAAAATGAATAATTCCACCCAGAGTGCTCGCATCGTCTTTTCCCAAGAGCATCTGCATCAGGCCCTGCTGACATACAAGGACCATACTGGTACACTGCTGTGTCTGTGTCTAATCCACTTTGGGGTTTGTGTTATGTGGTACCTATGCATCCCCGTCGGTGCCAACAACGCTAAAGAGCCCTGGGGACGCACCTGGGCAGGCCGAGCCACATGACCCAGGACGGGGACCAGCTGGCATCGTAGTCGTTGTCATGGGCGGCAGGCAGCGTCTCCTCGGCGGCCTGGCCCTGCTCCTCGATGGTCTGCACCTCCAGCGCCCTCAGCAGGACTGAGGAGGAGGCAGCGCTGGCCTTCAGCGTGGCCACGGCCTCGCTGTGACTCAGACTGGTCAGGTCCATGCCGTTGATGCTCAGCAGCACGTCCCCTGAAAACACAGAGCGCCGTCGGGCACACAGCATAGAATCCATTCACAGCGCTTTAACCAAGAAAAAAGAAAAGCTTAACCGCAAAGCACAGGCTTACTTAAAACAAATACAAAGAAATGTATTTTGCCTTAAGGGCTGTATTTTGCCTTAAATTTAAAACAAAAGCAAAAAAGAACACAGAACTAAAGATATATTATACAAAGGATATCAGTGAAGTATTGGAAAGTACTTTAAAGGCGCAGTGTTATCGAGTTCAACCACAGCTTGGCTGCCAGTCATCTGCCATGAGTGATCTCGGGCGCTGGCCTGTGTACTGCAGTCACACCAGCCTCAAGAGAGCAGCATCTGCTTGAGCAGACCCCTGGCTGGGCACGGCGTGCCCGCTGACAGTTACCGCGATCCCCTGTGACACCAAACTGCCAGTCAGCAGGCGCGGGCAGCGAGGGAAGGAGAAGTGACCGCCTGACACAAACGCTGTGTGACAGCGACACTATGAGCCACACCGCCGCCGACCGCGAACGCTAAACTCCCACACCGACACACACAAAAGCAGGAGGGGCAGAGGGATCACTGCAGCGTGGCACTGTGCTCACAAAACCACTCTCCTCTGCTGCAAACCGAGAGGTGAAAATGGACAGGAACTCACTCTGCTCTTCATCCTGTCTCTCTAGCCAAGATTAGACAAGTTCCTACCTTATATTTACAATCCATGGTCCTGGGTTTGTTTGCAAACTGTGTCTGTCTGTGTGAGGCCTGCTTGATCTCTAATGTGTTAGTGTGGGTTGCTGCTGGCTGCTATATTTTACATGCAGGTTAAGGTTTATTAGCTACAATAAACTGCCCCTTTCTTGGGGAGTCTCAAAGGGACTTCATACTCAGAAGGGGGTTGTCCCGGTACTGGGAACTATAATCAGCTGAGCCTGATGGGTGAAATGACCCCCTCTCCTCTGTGGCCTTTCTGAATTTACATTTCCTGGAGAATTAACATCAGGTAAACAGAACATCTCCAAAGATTTCTCTATATACGTTTAGCAAGCTTTATGCAAGCCCTCGAATTTTAACATTTAAATTGAAATCATCTGTCGAGCTGGCAAACTCCGAGTTAAAAGACAATATATCAGCAATTTAAATCCACCAAGGAAAGCACAGTGACAGCTTGTCAACTCCCGCCCTCAGTAGAGAAGCAGTACTGTATATCTGCTCAACCAATCGAGTTTGCTTTATGCCTGACAGTCAAAGTGACTCTTGGTGAATTT